GACACACACACACAGACACAGACACACACAAACCACAGAGCAGGTAGCAAGCAGCAACGCACGGTGCAGCGAGGAGAGCGTCGACGGTGGTGGTGACAACATCGCCCTTCGCCTGACCAGGCTCATATCCGCTGCAGCACCAACAACACCGCACGGATGGAGTATGATGTGAGGAGGACGCGTGCGCTGTGTGCCTCTGTGAGAATGGGAAACCATGTCAATTGAGCCTTGTCCCCCCGCCCCCGCTCCCAGGCTCTCATACCTGAGCACCAACTGCTCCAGCGCTTCCTTGACCTTGGGCGGATCAGCTGCACCGCACACGCATACACGAGCACGCGCGCACATAGGTGTGTATGTGAGGGTCACGTGCAAGCATCGAAAGGTGTGGAAATACAAGCACTCGCTTCAGCACATGTACAGGCACATGCACATGAAGCATGGTAAGGTGGGAACGTACCGCGAAGGAACGATTGTGCTGCGGAAAAGTGGAGTTGGCAGCGGCCGTGGGAACCGCCCTCCGGCGTTGTTGCGGCGATGGTGTGTCGCAGAAACGACAGAAGACTGACATCATCCGAGAAGCGTTCATTCAACTGCACATAATAGTCTGTGGTCGTGTTCAAGGAACAGGAACGCAGCGTGCGCATGAGCACGTGTGAGGAAGGTGCGGGGAAGAACAAAAGAGGCAGTAGGCATTCACAGAGCGCTGCCATTGCGTGTTGGCTACTATACCTCCTGCGTTCAGGGGGTCATGGTCTGGGCTCTCCGACAACACGTCAATGTGCACCTTTACCAACTGCGCCACCGCGTTGTCCTACCACAAGGAGAGTGAGTGAGTGTGAGTGTGTGAGTGTGTGAGTGAGTGAATGAGTGAGTGAGTGAGTGAGTGAGTGAGCAAGTGTGTGTGAGTGAGTGAGTGAGCAAGTATGTGTGAGTGAGTGGGTGAGAGACAGAGAGAGAGAGAGAGAGCGTCGCACGCACAGACGAAAAACACCATGGGAAGTGAGTGGGATGGCTGCCAGCTAGTCTGGCAAGCCGAGGTTTGGTGATGTGTTTGGTGGACAACGGAGGGTGATGCAATCAAAAAATGTCCACAATCAGGGGTGTACAATCAGGGCGGTCGACACTGGACCAGGGCGTACCTTGTGATTTTGAAGAAGCTTGTCCATGCCATCCTCCAACGCCGCTTTTGCCCGTGCAAACTGTTGCTGGGCCCTCAGCCTGCGCAAGCACCGGCCAGCGTGAGCAAGCACTAGCCGGGGGTGCAAGCAACCCACACAGGCCGCCCACACATCCAAGCACAGCGCAACATTCGTACACGCACACACACACACACACACACACACACACACACGCACACACACACACACACCATCACGCGCAATCACACCATCACACACACACACACACACACACACACACACACACACACACACACACACACGATGCACCTGTTTGTTAGGGAGATGAGGACCTCCTGTGCCTCGTAAAAGTCTTCTCCTGCAAACGCCATCTTCAGCCGCTTCTCAGCGAGCCGAATTGCCCGGTCCGTCTTCGACATGGTGGTGATGCTGTGTTGTGCTTGTGTGTGCTGTGGTGGTGCTACGCGTTCTTCCTCCTTGTTGCCTTCCTTGCTTCTCGCCTTCACTTGTCTCGCAACTGCTTCTGTCACTGAATTCAGTTTATAGTTAAGGCAAAGTTGACGTTGTGAGAAAAGGCAATTTTGACTGGCAACAAAATAGGCCAGGGAGCCACCCACAATTTTTCCCTTCCTTCACGTGTGCCTTTTTCTCCTGATCGCCGCAGCACCTGCCTCTGCCCCTTCCATCCCACCACCACCACACAAGATGAAGCTGAGCAACAAGACCTCCAGCAGGCGAAAGATGCGCAAGGCGCACTTCAACGCCCCTTCCAGGTACACATCACAGCGCAGTGCCTGTGTGCTTGTGTGTGTGTGTGTGTGTGTGTGTGTGCGTGTGTGTGCGTGTGTGTGTGTGTGTGTGTGTGTGAGTGCGTGTGCGTGTGCGCCTGTGTGGACGGTGGAACAACTGTGCGTGCGTACGGTTGTTTCCTTCAGCACGTGGAGACGATGGGGGTGAGGATGATGAGCATGCGCGACGACTGCAGCATGGGTGACGAACATGATGGCCACGTTGTGGCTGTAAAGAAAGGCCGGACGGAGATGGAGGCAGTGCACACCCCACGTCGAACTGTGGAGCGTGTGCCATGATTGGTGACAATAGCTGTCTATGCGGCGGCAGTTGTGCACTTTGTTGCTGTGTTTGTGTGGCGGTTGAGCATGCCGTGACGCGAAGGCTGCTCGTACAACTTCAGCTGACAACAGCGCCAGCAAGGAGAGCAAGTGGAGAGGAGACGTAGAGAACAGACATTCCACGCTCGCGTGTGGCGTTGGTGAACGCGTGCACACCCCACATACATACACACACGTACACACACACACACACGCCTGTTGCACTGTTTCTCCCCCCCCCCTCTGTTTGCTTCCTCGTTGTGTTGCTCACACGCTTGTTTTTGCTTGCGTGCTTGACCCATGTCGTGTTGGCAATCACAGCCAGCGCCGCCGCATGATGACCGCTCCTCTGTCCAAGGAGCTGCGCGAGAAGTACAACGTGCGCAACATGCCTGTGCGCAAGGACGACGAGGTACGCTCTCACTCATGCATGAACGTGTGCCTGCACGCACTTTTCCCACCGCTCTTACCACCGCCCATTCCCATGAACACACACGCGCGCTGGTCCAATGTTCATGTTGTGTCGTTCGACTGTGCAAACCGCCATCTTGGCACACAACCAACACACGATCCAACCTCATCGCCACCTGCCTTCCCTGCACCATCAAACCAACCCCCAAACATAACAACGCCACGTGTGACACCAGGTCCGCGTTGTGCGTGGCAGCCACAAGGGTACCCAGGGTAAGATCACCTCTTGCTACCGCAAGAAGTTCGTCATCCACATCGAGCGCGCCATGTACGAGAAGAAGAACGGCATGCAGGTTCCTCTTGGCTTCGACGCGTCCAAGGTGCGTGTCGCTTTTTTCCTGTTGCTTTACAACGTGGCGGGAAAACCAGACATGCTTGTTTTGCACACGCACATCTTGTAGCTTGTGCGTGATGACCGCTGTCGTTCCTCCCGTGATTGCAGTGTGCGTGTCGCGCACACCGTTCCAACTCATAATCGCGATGCGGCTCATCATATTCTGTGCACAGGTTGAGATCACAAAGCTGAAGCTCGACAAGGACCGCAAGAAGATCCTCGAGCGCCGTGACAAGACTAAGGCCACCGAGAAGGACAAGGTACAGTGTATGCAGCGTGTGTTGGGAAGGGAGTGTTATCAATCTTTCGTTGTGGAATCATGGGCCGAAACAAGACGGGCAATCCAGTGTGCATGCTTTTTGTGTGTGTGTGTGTGTGCAGTATTTATGGCGTGCCTTGTTGCTTTTCTTGCACTGTGTGCTCATTGTGCTCGCTTGCTTGTTGCGCCTCTGGCTGCTCACCTTTTCTCACTCTTCGTTGTCATCATGCTCCTTTCCTTTGCGGCGTATTGTTTGTTGTTGGTACAGGGCAAGCACACCGAGGAGTCTGTTGCTGCTCAATAAGCGACTCGTTGTTGTTGACACTTTTTCTTGTTCCCTCCCTCTCCCTGTTGCCCGTGCGGTCCATGGTCTGTCGTGGGTTTGGTGGTGCTCTTCCTGTTCATTTCCAACACGTGCCTTCTTCGTCTATTGCTGTCTGCCCACAGTCTGCCACGTCGTCTGTGACGCCTCTGTATGGTATGCGTTGCACACCGTCCGTGTCTTGCTGCCCCTGGACAAGTGAGAGCAGAGAGGCCGTTGCTCGGAAGTGAACCAGTGTACACCAAACAAGCAACAGCAGCAAAGGAAACTGTTGATGTGAGACGAGGCGCAGTGTGTGGAAAAGTGGAGATGTCATTCACAAATTGTCACATCTTTTGGTGCAGTGGCAGTGAGAGAACGAACGTGAGACAAGCACCAGCACACAGCAGTCTCGCGCCAATATGTTCACCGTGCATCGGGAGACGCACGAGCCATCGGCAGTGCGACATGCCGTGCAGGCCCGCTTCCTCGATGGCCAGCGGTACGTGTGTGTGGGTGTGTGTGTGTGTGTGTGTGTGTGTGTGTGTGTGTGTGTGTGTGTGCGTGTGTGTGTGTGTGTTTGTGCCTTGTTCTGTCGCCCTGTCTCTCTTGTCTGTCTGACCTTCTATCTCCCTCTATCCCCCTGCCAATCTCCTCCCTGCCCATCTCCCTTTCACTTTCGGACCCTCGCTTCACTGATGCTTGCTGACCACACCGTCGTGCTCCACTCAACAATGGCGCGTATCCACTCTGCAGAGTGAACCTCGTGACTGTTCAGGGCAATGTCCTCTCCGTGTACAACCTCGTGCAAGCCCAGGGCGCCGCAGACAAGCGGTGTCACCTAGAAGCCGACATCTCATTCACCCTCGACGTGAGTGTGTCTGTGTGTGTGTGTGTGTGTGTGTGCTGTGTCTGTGTGTGTGTGCTGTGTCTATGTGTCTGTGTGGGTGTATGTGTGTGTGTATGTGTGTACACGTGTTGTGTTGCTTCTTTTCTTTTCTTTTTTTTGTAGGCAGGAAGAATGACATACGCCGTACATGTGTCCCGCCCTCTCATATCTAAGACTTATTTCGCGTCCACCCTGTTGTCTGTGTCACTCCTGTGCAGGGCGTCCCGCAAGACGTAGCCACTGTGCGACCCCGCGGCAACTCCCGTGACCTTCTCATCTTCACCTTCAAGGACGCACGCGTCGCAAGTACGGCAACTCACACACGGCACAATCACACACACACACACGGCACAATCACACACACACACACACACACTTGCACACATAGATGCAAGTGCCCCCCTCACACGACACACATAACACTAACACACACACACACACACACACACACACACACACACACACACACACACACACACACACACACACACACACACT